TGGGGAGAAAACTGAGGAAGTGGCTGGGAGGAGAGAAAAACTGAGGGAGGTATGGGGAAACTGAGGGAGGTGTTGGGGGGGAGAGAAACTGTGGGAGGTATGGGGGAGAGAAAACTGAGGGAGGTATGGGGAAAGAAAACTGAGGGAGGTATGGGGAGAAAACCGAGGGAGAGATGGGGAAACTGAGGAGAGAGATGGGGGAACTGAGGAGAAATGGGGAAACTGAGGGTGAGATGGGTGGAAACTGAGGGAGATATGGGGGAAACTGAGGGAGAGATGGGGGGGAGGAAACTGAGGGAGAGATGGGGAAACTGAGGGAGAGATCGGGGAAACTGAGGGAGAGATGGGGGGAAACTGAGGGAGGGATGGGGGAGAAAACTGAGGGAGGGATGGGGGAAAGAAAGTGCATGGGGTCTACATAGTCTTTAACACTATAGAATCAGAAATACACGTTAGTGTGTATAGTGTTCCTTTAACAGTCTTGTTTATATTAAGGGTAACATTACCCTAAAATATATATGAACATTTCCAACATTTTATCTTTTTTTTCTACTTTTGTCTTATTAGTGGTGCAGCAACATTCTGGACACTTTCTGAGAAGAAGGCAAGCATTATGTTGGTTTCCAAGAATAACTGAAATAAATAATAGATAAAAAGTAAACTATATAAGTCTCTTGGGAGAGAAAGTGTATGTGAAGGTAAGGAAAAATATAAATGATATGTCTATTAACAATGGCATAAGAAAAAAAAAATACATTTGCCCTTGGAGAATAGTAAAGGTAAAAAAATTAAAAATAGAAGAATGAGCCTGGTAAAATCTAAATTTCATAGCCTGATTAAATGTAATAAAATATAGGATACATGTACTGAGAAGAAAAATTAACAATTTAAGATGACTGTCTTCTCTTATATTGGCAGCATATGTTTCTAATAAGGCAGAACAAACAGTCATGTAATATCAAATAGTTGATTATTTGTAGATACAATAAAAAAATTAAAATTGGATTTTATATGTTGGAAGTTGTTCTTTCACTTTAATAAAAGAGTGCTCTTTTTACATGAATAAACTAAGGTGTAACTGAGGTGCTATATTAACGTGTCATAAAGTTAGCAAGGGTGGAAACTTTTACCAGTGACAAGTGAGAAGAGTTTATCAGCAAAATATTTCCTTTATATAAAAAACAATGAATGGACCAGTGACTTTCAATCTTGACAATATGCTTTTCCTCTGAGTAAGTTAGCTAAAATTTTCCAACTTAAAATATGAGCCCAAAATGTATCAAAATTAAAAATATTGTGTTTCTCTCATAAAAGAAGAACCTTTACCAAAAAGCAATAGATGCCATTTCAATGTTACTTCCTGAACTCTAACTCAACCCGGCTCAAATGACGTCAAGACAAATTATTAATGTTCAGTTATTTGTCCTTGAGTGGCTAGTATACTAAAGCAGAAGATCGGAATGATAGTCTGTGGGAGTAAGAAGAAAAGAGGAGGAAAAACAAAACAAGCTGAACAGTTTTTCCATAAATGAGAATAGTTCCATGGATTTATGCTGATAAAAAAAATCCTAAATATTTACTCAAACAAAGTACAAGTACACTATAATTGGGTTATTTATTAAAGTGAGATATTTTGGCAAATCAAATTGAACTTAAAGTGAATTTAACATTTTAAACTAAAATAGCCCAACTGTAAGCATGGCTTAGTTGGAGT